AATTTTATGAATTGTACAATAAAATTCAAAATTAACTATTTACATTTTATACAACATAAACAAGCAAGCAATTAAATCAGACGTTCATGTAAATCATAATCAACATGCTTTTCTTTCTGAATGATCATGTACAAATACACAACCGTTAACACAGCGCACAATTTAGCCCATGCGGCCGACCAAAACTCCTTGAGTACATAGTTTGCTATAATGCCAACAATGAACAGCACAAGTGTAACGATCATGATCCATTTATTCTCCTTCGCAATACCCACCAAACCTATAACCGAGAATAGTATCCCAAACAGTCCGCAACCCAAAGCATATGCCGCTATATGAACAGGGTAAGAAAATGTAACAAATCTATTACGTTTAATAAACACGTTTTACCAAGAATTGCATACAACATATCCGTTTTTGTATATACAATAAACAAAAAAGGATATACTGTTCAATATATTATACAGCGTTAAGTATTCTATTATTAAAATATTCAATAAAATTACCTTGCTCTATAGTTATATTATGCTGCTGTCTATATAGTTCGGGTGAACACAACGATATACCACCGATTATTATCAAAAATATACAGCCAATGATGAATAATCCGTACAACACTTGCAAACTTATTTTTATCGTATTTAACATTAGTTGTCTATTGAAAGCCATTATTATCACTTAATACTGTATATATGTTGTCTTCTATCAACTAATAATCCAATATTTGTAATAATAAAAAACCATTTCATCACATATTTACTGTATGACTAGAAGCTCATACAAATATTAAGCATAATTACAATACAAACACTTAATTGTGGATGGTTGTTTTATGATCAAATATCGAAACAATATCATGCTTGAGTATATTAGTGTATGTATTTTTGATATAATTGTCAAGTGCCCTGATCAAACACGGAAAACCACCAAACGGTTATCCGGTATATACCGGATGCGTTAACGTTATGTGGGGTTAATTGTAAATGTCATTTCCTATGGGAGTTATTCTAAATGAAATTTATTAATAATTATTATCTATTATATAAAATAACAAAAATCCCAAATGTAATGAAATTGATTTTTACTAATAACATTGATTTGACACATAATAACATTAATGTAATAATAATTATTATATTAGTTATAATAATTTCAAAAATATCAACATTTTAATAATTTAATAATTATTACCAAAAACAATTATATTGTAATAAAAATACAATTTCTTTTAAATTATATTCAATCTCAATATTGCCTACACTTATAATTCAATTTCACATATGTCTTAACATTATTTTTATAATTTAAAAGTAAAACAAATATATTATATATCGCATAGTAAACACAAATATTGTCAAATGTTATCTCACAAAAAATCATTAGCTTTATAATTCCAAATTGTACGTAAACAGTGAAAGTAATATTAACTTGCTTTATGCAGTATTAATATAATCAATTAACAAAATACATTATTTAGATTAAATTTTGTTACAGACATTCTCAACAGTAACCGTTTGTTTCTTGGTAATGATCAAGCTTAAATACCATGCCGTTAATGCAGCGCACAGTATATGCCATACGGCTGCCCCGTAATCTTTAGTGGCAAAGCTTAACATAATACCTATGATGGTTAAAGCAAACAAAACGATCACGATACATTTGTTTTCCTTTACAATTCCCACCAGACCAATGATTGTAAATATTAATCCAATTACCCCGGTGGCCAGAAGGGATTTCGCTATTTAAACAAGATCAAAATATGTATAAATTTATCATGTTAAGTATTTAAATTTTTAATATACAACTCATCAGTTTTATTTATTTTTATTTCCCACATTGTACACTGTATATAATATATTAGTAATATATGTATATTAGTGTACATACTCTATAAACAAATACACTATACTTTAAATATGTAATAAAATTACCCTTTTCTTTTGTAGCATTTTCTTCCTTAGTGTAGGTCTCGTTGTTGGCCAACACTATACTCGACACCACTATTGTAAAAATACATAGAATAATGAACAACACGTACAGCACTTCCATCACGATCTTCACAATTGTCAACGCTTTTTGATTACTGAACGCCATTATTACCACACAATATACAATGTATAATTAACGGCGAATTTATTCTCCTAATGTAAAAATAATTAGCATTAATATTATTGCAGACACAGAATCGAACCATGTATTTACTTTATAGTTTGTGATACCAGCAATTATAAATATATTTTGCATATAATACTCGATTAAGGACTAGTAGTACTATTATCATGTTTATATCTCTTATATACCCATTAAATACATGGTACAAAAAACAATCTAGAGCAAACATACTGGTATGTAATAATAACTACCAAACGGATTTGTGTGGATACCATGTTATTTTAAAAATATTTTTTATATAATTTACCATTGAAGTTTTTTTAATTGACTAGTTATTTAACAAAAAAGATTATTTAATATCAATACAATATAAACTTTTACCGGATATGTAATAAAATTTAAATTTTACATTTAAATGTTGTCAAGACAAACAAATTTATATTTGGAGTGTTAGGTACGCCCGAAGTGGGGGCAGACTTGGGCTAAGCCTAACCTCCGAATAAAGCCGACCGAAGACTGGGTTTAAAACACTTTTATTGTTGTTAACTGTTATAACTCTAGGGAAAGACTGGTTAACATACATGATATGCACAGCTCTTATATAGTCCTGAAAGTGCTGACAGATATGAGATGTCTTTCATGGAAAGACTTACAGACAATGAGTTGTTATAATGCCTTTCGATGGAAAGTTACAATATAAGGCTTTCAATGGAAAGTTACAATAAGTAATATATATATATAGTAAATGTGAGTAATAGTATGGAAAGTACAGTATATGGGAAGTGAGTGTATGCCTTATCACTCCATATTTAATAAAAAGCTGCTAGAAGTTGCAAAATTATTTTGATTACGGTTGAATTGAAGCCCAATATTGCAATTGTTGTAACATCATGATTCATTTAGGTAATAACAATGATGTTTAATGTGTTTAAAGTTTAATTAAATGTTTACATTAATCATAGATAATATGATTTCAATGTTTTGAAATTGTTTTATTAAATGTTCAAGTTTCATACAATATCTGTCAAATACATGCATGTATATTTAAATATTACCAATTATAAACAAACCTTGTTTTCAATATTAAGGCAAATATTAGCATTTGCATTAATTCTATGCGCAAACATCCGATACATTTAAATTCCTTGCCAAATAAACAATGCTAATATAACACCTAAACATTATATAACTTAATTTATACCTATAATTTATAACATCATTGTTTAATAATAAATGGCTTGATAGTTATAAAATTAATATGCTTGCTATATCCATATACAGTGTGTACAAAAATGGACCTAACAAAAGTAAACTCGAATATTTCGAAAAGTATTGGGTTTAAAAATTCAAATAATATATCAAATTAATTGTCAACTGCGGTGGCCACGTAATCATTAGTGGCAAAGTTTGACATAATACCGATGATGGTTAAAACCAACAAAACGATCACGATACATTTGTTTTCCTTTATAATTCCCGCCAAACCAATGACTGTTAATATTAATCCAATCACCCCGGTGGCCAGAAGAGTTTTTGCTATATGAACAAAATCAATATACTTTATGTATAAATTTATCATGTTAAGAAATTGGGTCCACACTCTAAAAGCAAATTCTGTACATAATACATAAAATGTGCAATAAAATTACCCTCCTCTTTAATATCTTTGTCTTCCTTAGTGTAGGTCTCGGTGTCGGACAGCGTTATACTCGAGACCACTATTATATAAATACAGAGAATCGTGAACAACACGTACAGCACTTCCATCACGATCTTTACGACTGTCAACGCTTTTTGATTATTAAACGCCATTATTATTACTGGATATACAATTAACTACAAAGTTGTCTTCTATGGTCTGATAATCAGTATAAGTATTAATGCAAACACAGAATTGAGACGTATATTTACTTTACAGTGGTTTCTATATTACAATACCGACACTTAATTTTAAATAAATTTTGCATATAACTCTAGATCAAAGACTGGTAGTACTATTGTTATGTATATATCGCTTATATAACCATTAAATACATTGAACAAAAACAATCAAAAGCAACCATAAACGTGTAGAAATAACTACCAAACGGATTTGCGATATTTCATGTTATTCTAAGAATATTCTTTATTTCATTTCCTATGAAAGTTGTTTTAATTAATTAATTGTAAAAAATAAGATTATTTAATATCAATACAATATAAACTTTTACATGATATGTAATAAAATTTGACTTTTACATATAACATAATATTGTAAAACAAATGAATTTATGTTTAATAGAAAGTTGCGATAAATTAAGTGTAAAATTGTTTTTGTTACAATTGAATTGAAGTCCAATATTGCAATTGTTGTTAAATCATTATGTAATCTAGATAATAACAATGATGTTTAATGTGTTTAACGTTTAATTAATATGATTTTAATGTTTTGAAATTGTTTTTATTATATGTTTCTATTTCATGCAATATCTGTCCAATATATTTAAATATTATCAATTATNATATATACATAACAATAGTACTACCAGTCTTTGATCTAGAGTTATATGCAAAATTTATTTAAAATTAAGTGTCGGTATTGTAATATAGAAACCACTGTAAAGTAAATATACGTCTCAATTCTGTGTTTGCATTAATACTTATACTGATTATCAGACCATAGAAGACAACTTTGTAGTTAATTGTATATCCAGTAATAATAATGGCGTTTAATAATCAAAAAGCGTTGACAGTCGTAAAGATCGTGATGGAAGTGCTGTACGTGTTGTTCACGATTCTCTGTATTTATATAATAGTGGTCTCGAGTATAACGCTGTCCGACACCGAGACCTACACTAAGGAAGACAAAGATATTAAAGAGGAGGGTAATTTTATTGCACATTTTATGTATTATGTACAGAATTTGCTTTTAGAGTGTGGACCCAATTTCTTAACATGATAAATTTATACATAAAGTATATTGATTTTGTTCATATAGCAAAAACTCTTCTGGCCACCGGGGTGATTGGATTAATATTAACAGTCATTGGTTTGGCGGGAATTATAAAGGAAAACAAATGTATCGTGATCGTTTTGTTGGTTTTAACCATCATCGGTATTATGTCAAACTTTGCCACTAATGATTACGTGGCCACCGCAGTTGACAATTAATTTGATATATTATTTGAATTTTTAAACCCAATACTTTTCGAAATATTCGAGTTTACTTTTGTTAGGTCCATTTTTGTACACACTGTATATGGATATAGCAAGCATATTAATTTTATAACTATCAAGCCATTTATTATTAAACAATGATGTTATAAATTATAGGTATAAATTAAGTTATATAATGTTTAGGTGTTATATTAGCATTGTTTATTTGGCAAGGAATTTAAATGTATCGGATGTTTGCGCATAGAATTAATGCAAATGCTAATATTTGCCTTAATATTGAAAACAAGGTTTGTTTATAATTGGTAATATTTAAATATACATGCATGTATTTGACAGATATTGTATGAAACTTGAACATTTAATAAAACAATTTCAAAACATTGAAATCATATTATCTATGATTAATGTAAACATTTAATTAAACTTTAAACACATTAAACATCATTGTTATTACCTAAATGAATCATGATGTTACAACAATTGCAATATTGGGCTTCAATTCAACCGTAATCAAAATAATTTTGCAACTTCTAGCAGCTTTTTATTAAATATGGAGTGATAAGGCATACACTCACTTCCCATATACTGTACTTTCCATACTATTACTCACATTTACTATATATATATATTACTTATTGTAACTTTCCATTGAAAGCCTTATATTGTAACTTTCCATCGAAAGGCATTATAACAACTCATTGTCTGTAAGTCTTTCCATGAAAGACATCTCATATCTGTCAGCACTTTCAGGACTATATAAGAGCTGTGCATATCATGTATGTTAACCAGTCTTTCCCTAGAGTTATAACAGTTAACAACAATAAAAGTGTTTTAAACCCAGTCTTCGGTCGGCTTTATTCGGAGGTTAGGCTTAGCCCAAGTCTGCCCCCACTTCGGGCGTACCTAACACTCCAAGTGGTGGAGGGCACGGGTTTCTGGTCTACGACTGGAAGTCTCCGTTTATATTGATTCCCATCGAAGAGGTGGAGGACTACGAGACCTACGACAACAGAAGTCTCACTTTCAACCGCACCCGATCCGACTGGTGGACGGCTGCGAACTCTTGGACTCTACGCCGCGATAGCATCGTTGGCTTTATTGGAAGACAACCGGACTTCTTGAGAGACATCGCGTTTACCGGGTAACCCGTCGTCGGCCCAGATTCCGATACGCACGGCATCCTTATACTCGCGATTGTGGAATTGAGTGGTTTGTCGAGCGACAAGAGTCGCTATACTTTCGGACGATATCCAGACCCATTGGAAAGGTTTCGGACGAAAGACTTACAACAACAGAGAGAGTCGATAACAACAACAATAAGAAGAATAATAACAACAGTAAAGTATAGAGTAATAAACCAGAAGTATATAACAACAAAAAAA